TTTAGAGCATGTGCACAGGAGACTTGACTCACCTACGGGAGACGCCGTGTGACCTCAACTTGGGGTTCAGCCCACTCTCAGTGCACCCCCAAAGCACTGAGGCCGAGCCGAGATCCAGGTGCCCTCAGAAGTAGCTCTGGGCCCTGGTACACAGAGCGCAGCACCCAGGGCCTGCCTCTGGGGGACCCCGCCCACCTTCCACAGCGGGGGGCGGGGGGGGGCAGCCTCTCCACCCTCAGTTCCCTGCTTTTCCATCCAAGTTTCTTGTACTTTTCATATCAGAACCAAAGCCCCACAGACAGTTCATGAAGTCACCGACAGTCAAACTGAAACTGTGTGACCCTGGTGTGTCACTCGGAAGTCCACACGGAACCCAGACGTCCCTGCCGGCGTTGCCGGCAGGCCCTTGAGTGATAGGAGGCCCAACAGGCCTGTGCTCGGGCCAGGATCCAGCCTGGCACCCGCAGGAGGAGGACAGCGGCCCCGCTGCACGGAGGGGGCGGAGCGCACAGCTTGTCTTCTGACAAAAAGGCAGGCAGGCCCTGGCTGCGTGGTTCGGCCAGCCAGAGCCCCACGCGTGATCAGGGCACCCACGGAGGCAACAGACCGCGGGTCCTCTCACATCGGTGTGTCCCTCTTGTCACTCGCTCCCCCACTTCCTCTCTAAGATCAGTAGATCCACCCCGAGGATCCAAATAAAAAGCTAGGCGCTGCTCAGAGACCCCCACCCACCCTACAAACACAGACTGACGGAGGAAGGGCCCCCCCGGGGCCCGGGGCTGTGCCCGCTCCCCTTCTCCACGTCACCGCAGAGACTTTCCGTTCCAGAGCACCCTGGCATTCCACCCGGCATGGAGACACGCACCACTCCGAGCTTTAGGAAGCCCGAACGTGCACTGGCCGCCCGGGAGGCCAACGCTGGCACATCCAGCCCCAAGCACTGCCCCCCTGGAAGCCTGCCCCATGGCACTGGAAGGGCACTGGCAGCCCAGGCCAGCTGCTGCTCCCGGCGGACGCGGCCTCACGCCAGCCCTGCCGCACAGCCCCGGCACAGGCGACCCAGCCTCCTGCCGCTCCCGGGCAGCCCACCCCGACGTGCCTCTTCCAGGGGAGACGTAAGGCGTGTCACGGAGCCACGCCCAGCCCCTGGGGCACAGCTGTCGTGTGCACCCGCCCCAGGTGCAGGCCTGGAGACCTGGCTCCCACTCGTCTGCGTATGTCGGTTTCCTCTGACCACGCCGCTCTCCCCAGACAGCTCCGTGGTCCTCCCGCCTCCGCCGACGGCTCTGCCCCGGGAACCTCGGGGGCCTGTCAGCCTCGGCGTCGGGCAGACGGCCAGTTTGAGCCCGAATGAGCAACTCCTCCTTACAACACGGCAGCACCCACGGTTCTGCACAACTGGGACTGGGCTGGGGCTGCTCCGCCCGTGTCGGGGGCCCCTCTGAACAAGGACACTGGTGACAAGACATGTCCTGTCCTCAGGACCACAGTCGGGAGGGTGACAGACATGCCCATCTGGGGAGCTGGCTCTGGAAGTGCCGGTGAGCTCATCCCAGCTTCCCGGCCACACCAGAGCGACCAGGACGCTGAGGCGCCGCGGACTCAGGTGCCCCTGCTGTGGCACCCGTGGCACCACCACCTCAGAGATGTTCTGCAATTGTCCACACGGCCACAAGAGGAAGTGGGTCACCACCCGCCCAAGGCTGTCACTCTGACTGGGCCACCTCCAGAATGTGCAGGCCGGGCCCCCGAAGCGGTGCCCAACAACGAGGACCCCCACCGCCCGGGCACCGTCGCTCCAGCAGACAGGCTCTCCGGCGATGCCCCCAGCCCAGTCCCTCGGTGTGGAGCCCTCCTCTTCCAGGGGAAGCCCCCACAGCCGCCCCCAGTGGAAGCAGCTCAGGACACCAGCTGGCTGGGGAGAGTTTCGGAGGCGGCTCCGGCCCCAGACTCACAGCACCTGGGGTCCCCTCATCTCTGCTCCTGGGTCGCTCTGTTCCAGTCAGCGCTGTCCAGCGCAAGCCACAGAAGGGAACTTCCCAACAGCCACATTGAGATGTATAAGTAAGTTAGTAAGTAAGTAAGTAAAACAAGTTTATTAACTTCAGGAATTTCTGTATCTAATTCAACATTATCAAAAACGCCATTTCAACAAGTGACAACGTAAAACAACTGCAGGTCAGGTGTCCTGCACCCATCACGTGAAGCTCTGAAACCGAGGTGAACGAGGGAACAAGGATGGTCTCTCCCAAAACGGAGTCACCCTCCTGAGGGGGGCCCTATAGCCCAGGCTTCCCCCGCTGGGGGAGCGCTCTGGGGCCCCACCTGTATCCACACACCGACTGGCGTCGTTGTGAGAAGCTGCGTTTGGCTTCAGGAAATGTTTTTTGTGAACTCAACACGTCCGCCCTCGTCGTGAGGAGCGATTTACAAGCACGCCAGCCCACATCTTGCTGAGTATCTGGCAGTTTCTGACCCAAATCAGCATGACCCCCGTGCCCCACCCTTGATCTCCCCCAGAGGAACTTTTTTTATTCCCCAGATGAAAAGAGCCCTCAAAGGGAAAGGCTTTGCCTCGTGCAAGAGGACAAGCGAAACCGGCAGAAGCACTGAGAGGCACCAAAACCCGCGAGTCCTGACGCTGAGTCGGGCAGGGCAACAATCTCCTGGACGAGCCTCACCCCAAGCACTGAGCCGCCGCCCACCTTGTCACGCTGGAGGTCTTCTCGGGCCCTCGCGGCAGCCCCCTCACATCACCGGGGAGCGCGGTGTCCTGTCCCACCGCCTGCGGGGCAGCCTCCGTGCAGCAGGAGGTCAGCAGGTCGGGAGACACGCCCCGGCCCAGCCGCAGTGCAGGACGGGCTGGAGGGGAGGGAGGCCCAGGGGTGGAGGGCACAGCCCGGTCCCCTCGCCTGGGGCAAGCTCCCTCTGGAGCCACAGGAAATGGCTCGGAGCCCTCTCTGGCCTGCTCTCCTGCGCCCCCTTTTGCTTCAGGGCCAAGCACAGAGCCCAGCTGGTACCCAGCGACCAGCAAATCCAGGCCCGCAACCCGCTGAGGCCAGAATCAAAGCCCCGCGTCCCCACCCCAAGCCTGATGTCACCCACGACTGATGCTGTCCAGGCCAAGGCTGCAACCAGGGGAGGACAGACAGGAGCGCTGGGGGCCGGGAACGGCCATTTCCACACGCCCGAAGGGCTGTCAGCCTGGAGTTCCGGGGGAGACGGCTCCCTGCCCTGCCGTCTGCAGGGCACCGTGGGGACAGGCTGTTCTCCAGTGGGCACCCCGCTCACCCAGGCAGGGCCTGCTGTCTGCAGGTGGGGGGCCGCACAAGGTTGGGGCTGCCCGTGCGGGGCTTCCTGTGTCCTCACTTTTTGGCGCAGGGGTGGAGACTGGAACCGCACCCCCTGGCCCAGAGCCCCTGCCCCGGAGGACTCACTGCAAAGGCAAAGGGTGCGGCCCTCCCCCTACCACGCCCCCTGCCCTTTGCAGAGTGCATGGTGGCCGTGTGACAAGCCCAGTATGGGGGGACTGAGGACGGGACAGTGAGCCTGGGTGGGCCCTCTGACACCACCACAGCGAGGACACTGGAGGGGCCCTGCCCCCAGGCTCCTCCCGCAGCTGCCGGAGGCCCCCCTGCCCCCTGGCAGCGCCCTCTGCTCTCTACGCCGACACGTGTGAGCACTTCCTAGAACCTCGCCCACTCAGGCTCGCCCACTCGCGTGGCACAGACACCAGCTCAGCAACACACCGGAGGCAGCCCCAGGCCCACCGGGGGCGTGAGCCGACCGGAAGAAACCGTGGTTGTTCCCAGAAGGGGTACTTCCGCACGACGCCCACAGGGCGGCGCCGGGTGAGCTCGGTCCCTGCCGAGGTCACTTGCAAGAACAGGAGGCGGTGTCCAGGGTGACGTGGTGCCACAGGTCTCTCAGGCCGACTGTTTGGCCGCCTTTTCTTGGGCCGAGGCCCGTGTCTGTGTGCGCCTTGCGGCCCCTGCCGTTCAAACCCTGGCTCTTCTCCTGGGCTGTTCGTTTCCCAGTCTCGAACTCCAGCTCTCGGCGCATCCTGGGCACAGGCCACTGCAGAGACAGGGCCTGCTCCTGCCCGTGCGGCTTTCTACTCTCTGAGCAGGGTCACAAGGAGACGTTCTCCATCTGGTGACACCCCTGTCGTGGGCTGGTCCCGATCTCGTGGCTGGGAAAGAAACCCACGCGGACACCGAGTCCCAGTGACGCCCGTGCTCCCCGTCAGAGGCCCTCTCGTGTGGGGCCCGCAGCCCGGCTGCAGCGCCCTGCGAGTCCGTCCCTGCCCACGGCGTCGGGTCCCGCTCCCGCACACGATGCCCCACCGTTCAAACACCTCATTCATTCCATTTAGTTCTGCTTTTCAGGTTAAAATTTCCCCAATTTATGAAGAGCTGCAGGAACCAGAGAGACCCCAACACCCTTCCTGGACTCGCCCACCCCGCCCGCACAGGCGGTGGGCTCCACTCCCCTCCCTGCAGCCGGGAGGGGCTTCTCTCTGGGACACGTGCCTTCCTTCCTGTGTCACCTGCGGCTCCTCTGCTCTCCGACCTCTGGTCTGGAGTGTGAACTGTGACCTCTGGGTCCTTCACCTTTCCTGCTGAAAACCGCGTGGAGCCTTAGAAGAAACCGCCCTTTCTGCCCTGGCTGGTGCGGCTCAGTTGGTGGGGGCGTCTCTCCTGGACCAAAAGGTTGTGGGTTCAATTCCGGTCGGGGCACATACCCAGCTGCGGGTTGGATCCCAGGTCCGGGTACATGTGACAAACCATCAATGCCCCCCCCCCCAGCAATGAAAACCTGTCTCTGGGGAGGCAGATTAAAAAAGAAAAACACACCCTCCTCGGTGCACTGGTTCTGAAGACCAGCTTTGGGCTAAAAAGAGAGATCGGTGAAACCACGCTGTTTAAAGAGGGAAAAAGCCTGAAGAAACTTAAATATTGTTCTTAAAGACGGATACGGATTAACTGTATCAAAATTACCTTAATTCAGAAGTGCTTCCAGTCTGGTCTCCAATTCATGTACAGTGTCTGCAATGGAGAGAGAAAAGGCTGCGTTGGCCTGCGCTCCGGCGGGGGGAGCGGCCCGCCCCGCAGTCCAGGCAGCTGGAGACCCGGCCCTGCTGCAGGGCAGGCGCTCGTCCGACTCCCAAAGAGGCCACTGGCCAAGGGCCCCCGAGTGCCGGCCAGTCCGCCTGGGAGCGTTCCAGGACCCCGGCGGGGATGCAGGGTGGAGCCCGGGGGGGACGGCCGCCAACTCTGGTTCCCCTGCAACCCCTGGTTGTTCTTCCCAGAACCTGAAGTTTCGACACACTTCAGTGAGCTTTCGTATTTCTCCAAACCAACCCCCCGCTTGCCTGCGGGGAAAGTCGCCGGGCTGTGTGTCCCCAGGTGCAACTGCACACGCCTGGGCTGGGGCCGGAGGGGCCTCAAGACCCTGGCGCTGTCCCCCAGGGAAGTGTGAGCTCCCGGGTGCTCGTTTAACAACGCGGTTTTACTTGGAATTGTGCCCCTTGTGTCACACACTTCTTCCCTGGCGGTGAAAGCAGGTGTGGAAGGAAAAGGTTCCTGGTTCCTCAAAACGCTCAACCACAGCTCCACGACCCACCACCGTCCGGCTCCCGGGCACCCCGTGAGCAGGGCGGAAGTGAGCAGGCGCTGGGCCTGGGCGCCTGCCTGCTCACAGCAGCCGAGGGGACAGCCGCCCAGGGGCCCGTCGGTGCCTGAACAGACACCCACACCTGGCGTGGCACGCCCGCAGGGAGGGGGTCACAGGCAAACAGGTGACATGCCACCACAGAGACAACCTGCGGAAAAGCCGGTCACATGCTCCATGACCGCGTCTACCAGGAAACACCGGGACCGGGCCAACCCACAGGCAGGACGCACACGCGAGACTCAGCTGCGTGGTGGCGGAGACGGCGGGCAGGCGGCAGAGGCAGGGGCTGCGCAGCTCTGAGAACTGCTCACTTGAAAGTGTGAGTTTCACGTCAAAACGGGGAGGAGTAGCCCTGGCCAGGGTGGCTCAGCGGACTGAGCACTGCTCTGCGAACCAAAGGGTCACGGGTTCGATCCCCAGTCAGGGCACAAGCCTGGGTGGCAGCCAGGTCCCCAGTAACAGGGGGGCGCATGACAGGCAGCCAACTGATGTTTCTCTCCCTCTTCCTAAAAATAAATACATCTTAAAAGCCTTTTAAATAAAAAAGGCAACCACAGCCCCTGTCAGGGACCCTTCCCTTTACAGGTGTGCAGGCCCCTCCGCACCGTCTTACCCACCGGCTGTGTCGAAACCAGGAGAAACGGGGCCCTTCCTCGGGCCGGAGCTGCAGCCGGGCTGCATTCCCCAGGGGATGGCACGTGGGGCCGGAGACGAGACTCCGGGCGCGGCTGGGATGGGCCGCCTGGCAGGGGTGGCAGGTTCGTTCTCTGGGGGTTCCAGAGGGGACGCTCTGAGGCAGAAGCCTGCCGTTCTTCCAAAATTCTGCAGCTTTTGTTCTACGCTGTTTTAGTTTGTAAACTAATCCTGCAGAAATGGCATAATTAAAACTAACAGGAAAATGATAGAACTCAGAAGTGATAGGCTTTAGCCTTAATTGAGAGGCTTGAGTAATGCATAAGGGAAGTTGTTATTCCAAAACCGTCTAACTCCTCCCCTGTATCACCAAACTCTGCCTCTGGGATTCTGCCCAGAGGGTGGTGGCCAGCAGCAGGGCCCCTCGTGCCATTCGGTGACATGGGCAAGCCCCCACTGTCCCCCGTGCAATCCCCACAGTCCCACTGCCTCAGCTCTGCACAGGGAATGGGTGAAGGTGGGGAAAGGGGTTCTTGAGCCGACTTAAAGGTTCAGATTTGATGTTAAACTTAACTAGCAGCTTAGCGACTAAAAAGCAGGTCCTGGGAGATAGTTTAGTAATAAGCCAGGGCAAGTGAAACAGGAAAACCAAGACAAACAGTTAAAATGCCAAGCAGTTTACGGCCATCTAATAAACAGCGAAATCCCACCTTCCCCAACCCGGGACAAGTAGGAGTTAATGGTCTCTCCGCCCCGAGCAGAGGGTCAGTAGCTCAAGTCACCCACACGGGGAGACTGGTCACAGCATTCCAGTCGGTGCCCCTTGTGTCAGCCACACCGGGGGGAGGGGGGAGATCAAGAGGGAAAACCCAGGAGAAAGGGCAGAGGCAGAGGTGAGGTCCCGAAGGAGGAGGGACTTGTCGTCTGGAAACACCACTTGTGCTTCCACCTCACGCACAAAACTGTGGAGGAGGCCACCCTCTCGAAGCCCGTTTCCGAAAGGAGCTGCTGAGACGCAGACCCCCCTCTCCCACAGCGGCCGCACTCCAGATGCAGGCGAGGCTCCGAGGGGAAGACCCTCCTCCGCCCTCTCCCGGGTGCCTCCCGTGGGTGAGCAGCCCCTGGTGGGAACTCCACACCCGCCCCGGCTGCAGTGACGAGCTCCGAGGACTGTGGACAGTGGAGGCCTGGCTCCCACCACACACGGGATGCGCCCAGCACACTGCAGTGAGCCCAGAGGACGCAACAAGATGCCCTAGTTGACAGCACGGAGGGAGCGCAAGCCCAGAGTTCCAACAGCAGGTGGCGCCACACGCCTCCCTGACATCACAGCCCCAGGGGGCTGTTTCCCCAGGTGCTGGGTGGGGGGGCAGGGGAGCAAAGGCCGCTGGAGAATCAGGAAGAAGAGAAAACGAGGGTGGCCAGACCGGTCTGGTTCTGGAGTCTGAGAGGCCGCGCCCCACAGCCCACCAGTCCTGAAAATACAATGTAACAACTCAGAGCAGGAAGCAACCCAGGGCGTCTGCCGGGGCCTGGAGCACTGTGAGCACCTAGGGACACGCACGCCGCCCCTGCCCCTGCGCCCGAAACTTGGGGCAGAGGGGAGCCCAGGCACCAAGGAGCGGCGAGGAGGTGCCCATTCCGAGTGGGATGGGCCCCACTGCACGTGCGGAGCGTCCCCTCTGTGCCCTGCTTTAGGGGTGGGCCGGGAAACTGCACCAGAAACTAGAAACGCACCACGGCCCAGGGCTGGCTGCCTCGACTCCGCGCTCGGGGAAAAGCAGCTCTGCAGTGCAGCCCAGGGGGCAGGTGCCTCTCAGACGGCTTGGGTGGCGGGGAGGCGGGGCAGGCAGCACCCCCACGGGCGCGTGCAGCACAGCTGCGGCCAAGCGCGGGTGCGGGAAATACAAGACAGGCCCAGACGGCGAGGGCGTCAGACTGGGCTCAGGGAGACCCACTCGCACTTGGGGTGCTCTGCCTGGAAGGCGAAGCCGCAGGCACGGGGCGAGCGCCACCCCTCAAGGAACCGGCCTGCACGGCCACAAGCTGACCCCCGAGAGCCGCTGCTCCGACTGAAGACCAGGACCTCGCAGCACAGCACGTGGCCCTGGACCTTCGGGACGGGGGCGGGTGGGCGCCCACAGCTGCGGGAGGCACTGTGGGGACACAGTGACACACGTGACAGGCCACAGCCTGGCATCGGCGTGGTGTGTGTGGACTCTGCTCAGTGAGCCACGGCTGCTTAAAAACACACCCGTGCTCTTAAAAGTGTGCCCACAGCCCTGACCTGGGTGGCTCAGGGGGCTGGGCCCTCTCCCACAAAGCAAAAGATCGCCGGTTCGACTCCCAGTCAGGACGATTCCCAGGGAGCCCGGGAAGAAGCTGTGGGTGTTCCCTGCCCATCAAAGCAGGGGCTGCTCGGTGGGCAGGCTGAGGAGCAAGCAGCACCTTGGGTTGGGGGGAGGCCACGGGGACACAGCAACCAGGAGTGACAAACGCCCGGCCACGTGAACTGCGCAGTAGTAACGCGGCAGCGCACTGGGCTCACAGAGGCAGCTGCTGCACTGGGGAGAGGACAGGGACCCCGGCCCCACGGCCAGCACCCGGGGACATCGTGAGACTTGGCTGAGGTCCCCACTCAAGAGCCCGCTAACTAACAAGGCCCACAGGCCTCTTTTACGGCCAACCCCACAGGGCCTGGGTCCCGATGTCCGCCATGCAGCAGCGTCCTGTTCTCGACGAGGGAACCTGGAAACAACCAGGCCCAGACTCTGCACACCCGCACCCCGACCACAGCGCAGCTCTTGAAACACGGGCTTCCCAACATCGAGGAGAGACACCCCAGGAGACCCCCGCCCGGAAAACCTGCCTGCCTCCGGGGTCCCGAAAGCCCCCTTACCCTGGCGCATGCCAGCACTTCACCGACCACAGAAACTCGCCAGGAAAGCAACACCTGGCGCGGTTTCCGCGGAGGCCGCGCTGCAGCCCCCTCCCCCGCCCCCTCCTGTCAAAGGCTGTCAAGTATCTCCCCAAAGTTTTTCTAATGCTTCCGCGCTTCAATCTCTCCACATCCTTGGAGCCACCCGGAGTCTGTTGTGCTGTGGAACGCAGTCTTCGACTTGACTCCCCCGCCCCCCCAGGACTCTTGTGACGCAGCGTCTCCCACGCCACAAACCTGCCCTCCCCACCGACCCAAACTCAGGAGGGTCCCACCGCTTCGCCCCACCCCTCTGCGCTCTACCGCACGCCTGCGGTTCACGCCTCAGACAGCGCCCCTCACCTCCTTCTACAGAGCTGACCCCTTGCGGACCCCCGCCCCCCCAGGACTCTTGTGACGCAGCGTCTCCCACGCCACAAACCTGCCCTCCCCACCGACCCAAACTCAGGAGGGTCCCACCGCTTCGCCCCACCCCTCTGCGCTCTACCGCACGCCTGCGGTTCACGCCTCAGACAGCGCCCCTCACCTCCTTCTACAGAGCTGACCCCTTGCGGACGTTCCTCCCCCCCAGTGAGCGATGCCGGCGGACCCCCAGCCCCTCCGCAGGCTCTGCCCTCGGTCTGCTCCGCCCCACCCCCGCACCAGTTTTCTTCACTCACGCCTTACGAGCGACTTAAGCTCACTTCTTTCTTTACTAAACACAGCAACGTTTCAGGCTTAGCAACATTTAAAAAGGGGCACGCACAACAGGCTCGGCTCGAGTCCCTCGCCCTCTCGCTTCCCTTCTGAAAATGACCTGGC